TATTCATATAAGGTGGTACACCTGCTGCAATTTCCCACATAATAATCGCCAGACTGAAAATATCTGACATTTTAGTATAGGGCATTCTACACAAAATTTCCGGTGCAATATATGGAAGATTTCCGTATATACAATCTAATGGTTTATCAACAGGGCCACAAAATCCTAGATCGCTAATATAAAGTGCTAAAGTTTGTCGAATTAAAATATTACCGGAATGTAAATCTCTATGAACATGATCCTTTCTATGAATTTCATTTAAGCAGGAAGCGATCTCATAAAGAATGTCATATCTTTGTTCCCAGGTGATTGTGGAATTATTTTCAAGTAGGAAATTTCGTAAATTAGTCATCATATATCTTAAAACTAGCATAAAATTGCCAGTATTCGGATCTTTTGTTAATCGATGACAAGGAACAAGATATTGGGCAATTTTATCAATTGTGAAATGGTGTAAAGCCTAAATATGAATCATTACAGTAATAAATTTATTAATATACTGTATATAATCATTATATATTACACAAATAAATGAAAGGACTTAGTCTTACTTCATCAAACCAATCAAGGTTATTCTTATCCTTATCAGAGCTATTTAACATTTTCAAAATAACCAACTGTTTACCAAATCTTACCAAGTATCATAACAACTATCTTTCCAAACTGCTTTATAAATGGTAGCACAGCCGCCTCGAATAATTTGGTATGAACAGAGAGCATTTTGTTGAGCGTCTCGAACTGCTCGGTCAATTTTTTCGTCACCAGAAGTCCATTTTTGTTTTTTCAAATAATCGTGAATCATTTTTCACAATTCTGAATAGAATAAGTCAAATTATGACAATCATCACATCGCCTAGATTTGCCTGCTTTATTTACTAGATTAACTTTTTCTTGATATTCTCCAAGCTTAGAAAGTAAATACGTTTTTTCACTTTCATTAAAGGAGTTATCATTTTTAAATTTATTTTGAAGAAAGTCACAACGTTGATCTAGCTTTGAATTATCCAACTCTAACGACCTCCAAGCACTGCGATAATATTTGTTTAATCTTGGTAAATCTAAATCATTATTATTTTTTAATACGGCTATATCAATTGCCTTGTTAGTTTCCATCCTAAATTTATAAATACATTAATCAAATTATATTAGAGTTGTATGTACAATACATTTGATGAATTAGATACCTTAAATTACGAAAAAGTTAAAGGAATATTAATGGTCAAATTATTTTAATAAAATAAGTGCGTACGTACATACAGCAAGTACAGCACGATGTCAGCATATAAAATATTTTGAATAACCAAAATAATAATATTTATATTCGAAACGATTTATTTATATAAATCTGATCGGTTTCATAACTATTATATGACTTTGTGATAAAAAGTTGGGCGCGTACGTACGTACGTACGTACAATGTTTTATTTTGTTTAATGCGAGAAATATGTTGTATCACTTTACCCCAAAACAGAAACAATTATAGAGGGGCCTCACACAATTGACGGGCCAAATTGTATTACAACCACTAGTAAAAATATTGATGGGTTTAAATACCGTCAAACTTCCCAGATGATGGAAGGTATTGGGAGGTTATCAGGTTCGAAAACTTTATAAATTATTAGATTTATACAACAGAAATAGACGTGGTTGATTAATTTTTTATTACTGTATTAGATTTGACCAGTTAGCGATTTTGACAGGATCGGTTTTGGGTGGTTCAATGTATTACAAATTAAACTAAAATATCTTTTAAAAACTACTATCATCAGAATCATTAAAATCATTAGAATCATAGATATTTACATTCATAGCCTTTACTAATCGAAGTGACAGTTCATTTTTTTTCAATGCAGAAAGTTTCAAGTACCTTAATCCGAGTTGCTTATTACATGGTATATTACGTTTTCCATTTAAATATATATCAGCAAGATGATACATTGCAATGTCTTTTCCATTATCAGCTGCTTTTTTAAGATAACTAAGAAAATTTTCACGATTCTTCTTTGTTTTAGGTAAGGTGAATGCGTATAATAATTGTGCGTCAGCATTGCCTCCATCAGCAGCCATTTTAAAAATTTTAAGAGCTTTAGTTTTATCAAGAGATTTTGTTTCTTCGGATCTGTTCTCATTAGTATAATGACATCAGTAGCGTTTCCAAGTTTTGAATTGTCTTTGAAGCATTCAAATGCCAATTTTTTATTTTCCCAAATACCAGTTCTGTGAAGCCTTATTCCTTCTTCGACTGGTAAAATCTTCTCATTAAAAATGTCATCATATAATTTTAATTCTGTCATCTGACTTTTAATAGTCACGTTAGATGTTTCGGGACATGATGATGATTCAGTAGAAATAAATTTGTCGGGATTAACATTTTTTAATAAACCTGTAAGTTCCAGATATAATTCACCGATGGTAATTCTTTCCTCTTCAATATGCTCCCATGCTTTATTTAAATTAATGAATGTTAAAATTAGCAGTTTAATTTCTAATAATATAATGAATTGGTTAGAAAATTACCTCTTCTAACGATCTTTATGTACTCTTTTATGGTTTGCTCATTTTTAGGTCATGAATATATGAGCACTCCTCTCTTTGTCCATTTATCACATGTTTTATTATACTATCCATGCTCTTGTTTTCATATGGAATCCTCTCATATGCAAATTCCCAAAGCAACATCCCGAAACTAAATAAAATTAATACTAATGATTAACTTTATATAACTTATTTTTTTTTTTAAAAAAAAAAAAAGGATATCAAAATTGTTTATCACCTAAAAATTTCACATTTTTGGGTGTATGGGATTTTAATCGAATTTGGTGTGTACTCCCTCATTTTCTCAGGAGCCATCCAATTGATAACCTCCAAAATATTTATAATATTTGTAGAGGGGTCTGTCATCATTCTCGCAAAATGGAAATTTGCCAGTTTTGGTTCCATAAAACTAGTTATCTATAAAATGCATTAATTTATAACATAGAAATTAGTATTTTGAATGCAAAAACTATAAAATTATATCACATGTATTTATACCATAACATTTCTGCATCGTAAATCGTGATGAAAAATACCGATGGAATTAAGGTATAAAATACCACGACAAATGCCATGCGCAATCTTAATTTTAGTTTCCCATGAAATCGCGCTTTTAGAATAAACTTCTCTCAAATTTCCCATCTCAGCCCAGTCAAATACCATCACCTCTTTACCATCAACTTTTGAAAGTCCATAAAACTTGAGTATGTTTGGACTTTCAATCAATTTTCCCAAAATTGCTAACTGGCCGTAACATATTTGAACTGCTTCTTTTGAATTAGGATGAATAAATGGTCTACAAGCCACATCTATAGCTGTTTTATATACTTTCTTTACGATTTGTTTGGATTTTCCACGACGATCAGAACGATTTCCATGTGATGGATCATGCAACTTGCACGGATCTATTCTTTGTGCATAAATTTGATTATCACACTTAAGTTCGGAAATCGGTAATTCTGTTAATTGTTTGATATGTACTCTTATCGAATTTATTTCTTGATAAAGTAAACTTATATGTTGATTATTTTCACTAAGGAGATTTTTCATAAGCTAAGGCCAGACCAATTTAATTCAGTGGTTTACATTACCCCCCCCCCCCCGCTCTAGCTTAGTGGAAAAAGATATGGGGCAGTATTCTTCT